GTGATACAATGGTGGTGATACGATGGTGATGGTGATACAATGGTGGTGATACGATGGTGATACAATGGTGGTGATACGACGGCGATAGTGGTACAATGGTGGTGATACAATGGTGGTGATACGATGGCGATAGTGATACAATGGTGGTGATACGATGGTGATGCAATGGTGATGGTGATACAATGGTGGTGATGCAATGGTGATGGTGATACAATGGTGGTGATACGATGGCGATAGTGATACAATGGTGGTGATACGATGGTGATAGTGATACAATATGGGGTGATACGATGGAGATGGTAATACAATATAGGTGATACAATAGAGATGGTGATTCCATGTTGATTGTGACATAATGATGGGGTGATGTAATGGTGATGGTAACCTCAAAACAATTGATTATGCAAGAGCCCTCGTTGTTCCCCGCAGGCCAGAAGAAATGCAGGCTCTGGGTACGAGATTGTATAGACGTTGGTGCATCAATGTCATGCGTAGTGAGGTTTTTACGTTTCTGCTATGCGCAGTGAGTCCAAAAATGGCTCCCAAAACTGCCAAACTCAATACAGGGGGACTAGTCGAAGCTATTTTGTGCATCTTCGATGATCGTACGTGAGACTGATCTTGATTGGTTTTTAGGTCTTCATGCCAAATTCAAGACAGGAGCACTAGTCGACGCTATTTTATGGGTCATCGATGATCGTAAGTGAGTCTTTATCTCTGATGAAGTCGTCCACATTAGCATCTTTATACAAAGAATACTAATAAGAAGAGACTTTACATAAAGTCTCATCGTCATTAGTACTCTTCATATAAAGAATATTAATGAAGAGGACTTCAAGGGGTTTAAAGGTCCATGCACGTGTAGTGTATGGTTCTTCCAATTGGTTGAAAGGCTCATTTATTATTCATGAGTTTTTGAAACGGTTTATTGTTTCAGTTCTTGTTAATTAACGCTTGCTTTGCTTTAGCTTCCAAAAAAAAAGGACTGGAATGTTTACAAAAACATTACTATTTTTTTCATTGCAGCTTTTAATGAAATTTAAAGTTTCTACTTTTGATATTACCAAAGTATAACCCAGCAGATACCGCAGTTGTGTCGGTTAAAACTAAATCCTCACCCCAGAATATATTTTTTCCTGTTCTGTCCACCATAAAGCCAAGTACTGGTGATGCACAGGCAGATATAATGAATACAATACTGAAAAATAAAATATCATAGAAATTGACAAGCTACAGTAAAATAATAATAACAATAATAACAATAATAATGATAACAATAATAATAAT